AAGAAAGAAAAAGTAACGGAATTTAAAACTCAAAAAAGCCAACAAAAAGAGGAACAAAGATCAAATGTTAGAAAGTGAGCAAAAGTACCTAACAAAAGTGTATTAAGTAAGGTTTTCTTTTTTCTTTTACACTTTTGGTTGTATCATTGATTTTGTTTTGTTGTGTTGGTTTTTTATTTATTTTTTGCACTTTCACTCTTTTTTTTCTTTAAATAAATAATAATTCCTAACAAAAAACACATAAAATAATATATTTTTTTATCTATCTCTTTACTATTTTAATTGTCTATCTTTCTTTTTACATGATGTTTCAACATTTTTTTCACATATTATTTTTATCCTTTATTTGATCTTTTCTTAGGCACAATAAAATACAAAAAAAAAAAAATTAAAAATGAAATTTTAGAGAACTCTTTCAAAAAAATAAAATAAAATCTTCTCATTATGGTTAAATAAATAATCTTTTAAAATTCACTCCAATCTTTTTGATATGTCATTGTGTTTTATTTTATTGTTGCATCTTGTAAGTGCTCATATTTTTGTTTTTAGATTCACAATCTATTAAAAAAATAAAAATAAAAGAAATTGAAGAAAATATGTTTGATTTAATTTCTTTTTGGAGCTTTAGGTTTGAGAGTTTTTTTTTCTTTGTTTTTTAATTTCTTTTTCATTTGATTCTTTTATAACAATGATGATGCAAGTAAATTCTTTGATAACAATAATTTCATTTGCTAACAATAATGATAATTTCTTTGATAATGATAAAATAAAAAATATATATAAAGTATTGTGTAGATTAATTTATTTCTGTACTTTATTTTATCATTGTAGTTATTATCTTATTATTGTTTCTATTATTGCAAATAAATTGTGTCAATGATTTCTATGCAAAATTATAAATGTAATGGATATGCAAAAGATGAAAATTATTTTTTATAAAAAAAATAATTATTACTTTTGAATTTACAAAACAACTAATTAATGTTAATCAATGTTAACTTGAGCTTTGTGTAAGAGTGAGTTCATTATTTTAAAATCTACATAACGATCAAATAATGTTAATTGAAGGGTGAATCTACCTTTGATATTATTTGAGTTGCAAGTAGTTATGTGTTAACTTAAATCTTGTGCAAAAATAAATTTATTTTTAAAATAAGGAAGTGACCTTCCAAAATTTAAAACATTTCAACTTATCATTCAAATTATACATTTTTTAAAAAATTTCTTTTCAAAATTTAAAACGAAAGATTAAACAAAATGATCTCTTTCAAATGAAATTAATATTTTCAAAATAAAAAACAATCTTAAATTAAATAATATTTCTAACACTTTAATATGAAAATTTTTAAGAATCAAGCATTAAAAAAATCAAAATTAATCTTTTTGAAAGTAAGAAAGAATTCATCTTTAAAATTTATTTAAATTTAATTTTTTAAAGAATTACGTGATTTTGATTTCTCTATTATATTTAGAATATACCAAAACGTGAACATCAAATTTAAGTTTTTTAAACTTTTTTCTTAATTCTAAAACATGAAAAAGTATTATTTTTATATTTTTAATCTAAATTTGAATTTAAAAAACTAAAAATAATTTCAAAATTTCTTTTGTTCTAAAAAATAAAAATGAAATTGTTACTTTTTCTTAATTTCATTAGAAAATGGAGTATTGAAATAAGTTTTTTAAATTTATTTTTATGCAAAAAAGTAATATTTTTTTTAGAAATAATTCATTGTTTTAATTCAAATTAAAAAGATTCTTTTAAAAATTGTATTTCTTTATTTTAAAAATATAAAAAATAAAATTTGTTATAAATTATAAAAATAAAAAATGAAACTAAAAAGATAATAATAAATTATAACATAGCAAAAAATATGAATTATTTTTTTTGAAGTGAAATAAATATTTTTAAAAAATAATTTTGCATAATTAGCTATATGGTAATGTTTAGTGGCCAAGTATACCCGTTGAAAAGTAATAAAGGGGTTTTAAAAACGAGTCTCACAATGATTATTTTTTAATTACTAAGAATTTCTCTGTGTAATTGTTTGAATGTAATGGATACGAAATTGCACATCAAAGAACCATTATCACTATATCTCAAAGCAGAAATCACGACACACGCCTTAAGAAAAATTATAAGAGGAAAACTTAGGGCATTTGTGTTTACTCATTCAATCTTTTATGACTTTTTTTCTTTAATTAACTCTAGATCTGACGTCCGTGTGATCAGTAATCATTTATATTGTTGCTATTAATATCCAATAGCCATACAATATTAACATTCTTTTCTCTAAATTAACACTTCTAATGGTCATGCAAGATATCAGGAAGCATGAAGAACCTATGAACTTGTTAATCTAATAACGATTGAAAGAAAAAGATCAGTTTGATCCACCTAATATTTTATCTCGTTTTATTCTATAGATCTATTATTTAATCGATGTACGATCGTCAATGATGTAATTAATTAGAATTATGTTATAAGTGGTCAGTTCATAACACACAATCAAGCGCAGTAGGAGAAACACTAATCACAATTAAAATCAAGTATAAATTTAATTATAAAAATCCCATTAAGTCATGATGAAGAGTTCTCATAGCCCTAACTATGGGTTTAATTACTCATGTTTAAGAAGGAAACCAAAATATTTATAAATAAAACCATAAACAAAGTCAAAAATAAGGGTGAAAAACAAACAAAAGGGAAGATCCTAAACCCTAAATCCTAAATCCTCCAGAAACGTGTCAGAGATCCCGTGCAGAAAAGAGAAGGAGTTACTTAAAAACTTAGGAATTAAGTCTATAGAATGGAATGCTTAACTGCTACCTCCATTCCTCCTTTTATAAGGTTTTAAAAATTATAAAATAATGTAGAATTTGTGAATTGTGTAAGTGAGCATAGTTGTGCCAGATGAACGCATGACCGTGCTTATTTTGGAGTCATGGGTGTACTTGATCACAGTGCAGCTGTGCATGCTAATGAAACATGGGCGTGCTGAAAATAAAGGATTGAGCGTACTTTATCTTTAATAGCCTAATTCTCTTGAAATTACGTCCAAAATGTCCATAAATCCCGTAAGTCCTCACACATGCTCATTTATAACAATTAACAGAGTAATTAGTGTAAAAATTCATTTAAATTATGCATATGATTATGCTCAAAAAACATGTCAAAATATAGACTTATCATGTAATAATTTTATTTAATAGACACGTAAGGTGTTAACACCTTTATTATGCGTCAACGATTCCCAAATTTAAATATAGTTTCACAGATTATATATTTTTAAAATAATTTTTTTAAATATTTTTTAATAAATTTTAATAGTGAATCATTATCTGTTTTTCTTAAGTTGATTGCAACTACATTTCACTATTTGTGACAAAAATTTATATTATTTGATAACTTTTTATAGAATGAGAGATTGATCAATCTAAGCGTTGAATTATCTTATTTTGTTTTCATCATAATAGATATCAAATTTTACATAATTAGAAATTTATAGACATATTATCTAAAATTTGATATTTATTTGCATTTGTAAAAATATATTCTTTGTTAAAATAAAAAATACAATAAAATATTTTTTTTATAGTCTTTATAATTAAAATTCACATTTTAGTATTTATGCAAATATTTTTTTCATTTCTATCCTTTCCATCTAATGTGGTCAACAAGATTTTAAACAAGAAGGACTACTCTAAAAATGTTTACTCATATAAAGATTAAATTTTATTAATTTTTTTTTATGTTGGGACTAAATTAAAAAAGCATGTCATAATCTTTTATTTTGTATGAAATATTATAAAATTAATTTACTTTGTAAGAATATTCAAACCAATATTTGAATTTATTTATCTTATATTTTATAAAAAATTATTAAATAATGCAAATATTAAAATTTTGATATGCATAATTAGAAAGATAATATAAAATAATTTAATGATTGGATTGATTGATTTTGATTCTATAAAAAAATTATCAAGTTATGTCATTATTTAAGTTTGACAACTTGTGTTAGTGGATATTAAACTTAAAAACTTAACTTTTTTATAAAATGAGAGGTTGAGTAATTTAACTATTGATTATTTTCATGATTATGTATATTAAATTTTATATTATTTATATATTTATAATAATTTTTTTTGTTAAACTTTGGATATTTATACATGTTACCTAAATTTTAATATTTATTTATATTTTAAAAAATATTTGTTAAAGTAAAGTAATATAATAAAATTTTTGTTAAATTTTATATGAAATATTATAAAATTAAATTATTTAATAAAAATATTTGAAATAACAGTTGAATTAATTAATTTTGATATTTTATAAAAATTATTAGATAATACGAATATTAAAATTTAACATTGAGCATTAACAAATTCTATTTGTTTTTTTTTTTTCGCTGCTTCATTGAAGCCCTGTTCTTCGACTAAGACAAGATGATAATTGGGAGACTCGTAGATAGTTTTGATAATTTTAAAGTTGATATATCGGTTTTCAATTTATTGAATATAATTAAGATATGTGTATCATAGATTTTATTGATATATGTAATACTATTTTGTGCAATAGATGCGTATAAAATTATGGTCAAGCTTATCTAAGCTAATTGCAAAGTTTTAAACTCAATTTATATCATTTTTTTCTTAAAATTGTAACTTTTCATTGTTATTAAAATTCATTGAGAATTTAAAAAAAGCAAAAAAGAATATTAATTTAAAAGTAATATTTACATAATTTTTATAATTTTAAATAAATTTTAGTCAATAATAAAATATGTATTATAAAAATATATTAAAAAAATATGTTGTTAATATTACTATTTATAAAAATAACTTAAATAACTTCTATTAACCTTTTTTAATAAATTTCTTTTTACAAAATATATAAATAAATTATTTTTTTTCTTACTTTAATAAATTTTGACGATGAAATTTATAACAAATTCTGTTATAAAAATAATTAGGCAGGCCAACGGCGACAACAGAAACGAAAACGCAACGTTTTGGTTGATGATTTTTTGTTTCTTGATCTAGGTGCAAGACCTAAACGCAGCAGCAACACTACTCAGTTGAGGTTGAAAGTGGTGAGGAAGATGAAAGTGGTAGCACTCGTTAGCGGCGGCAAAGACAGCTGCTATGCTATGATGAAGTCCATTCACTATGGTCACCAGGTTTCTTCTTTTTCGTTTTTATTTTTCCAGAATCAGTTTTCATTTTCATAGTAATTATTTACTTATTCTGACTGGTTTTGCATAGATTGTTGCATTGGCCAATTTGATGCCCGCTGATGATTCTGTAGACGAGCTCGATAGCTACATGTACCAAACTGTACGTCTCTTTTTCCATTTTCCTTTTATTTTTCAAGTTATTTTTTGATCAAATTTGAAAACGAAAATGGACTTCTTTATCAAATGCGTTTCATTACTGAAGAAACAATAAATTTCTGTAATAACAGAATATCAGTATTACTGTTGTTTTGTAGGTGCTGTTAGTGCTGTTTACTAATTAAAATTAGAGCTTTATTTTAGTAAAACATTTTCATTTAATGTTATTATAGATTATTGAGATAAAACTCTATTTTTTATTAGTAAACAACAAGTAAGCAACATTACATAAGTTTTGTCTATTACTGCTCTAGTGTTCTTAAAGTAACCAAGATGACTGTGATTAGAAATTTAAATATTTTTTTTTTGGTAACAAAAATTTCAAATTTCATCTGACACCTTGAAAGTGAAGCTGTTTGGAGCGAAATGAACTTTGGACCTGATGGAATTCCTTTCCCCTTTAAGGTAAAGGGTGAGTGAGATGGCTGGTTATGGTTATTGACTCTCCTTAAGTTTGAGTTGCAGCCAATTTGACTATCTTGCTCTTTGTTGACCATTTCTTCCTGATAAGCTTTTGTTATTTGGATTTTACTTTGGTAATTAAGAAATGAACTTAACTGTTAAAAGAGTTTGCATCTTAGACCTTACATCTCTGCTTATATTTAATTATTTACTGGATAGTGTTTTTTCATTCGTGTACGGAAATGAAAATGGGCTGCTCAATGTTTTTCCACAGGTTGGGCATCAAATTATCATCAGCTATGCTGAATGCATGGGACTGCCATTATTCAGAAGGCGAATACAAGGATCCTCAAGGCAAGCCTTCTAAACATTTTTTTTATACATAACCAATTAATTTATTTTAGAGAAATCAGTAGGTTAGGTTATTTAGTTAATTAAGGGAAATTACAATGTGATTAAACTCCTGTTTTAACATACCATAGTTATCAATCCCAAATAGCTGTGTGGAGTGGCTGACCGCAAAACTGCTATAGTGGGGTAAAATAGTACTAGTGGGATGGCTGCTATTCTGATGTTATGCACCATATACTAAATAATTTATACTACAAATACATAATTTCTCAAAAATAAAATAATACCCTAAGTGAAAGTAATATTCATAATTAATAATCAAAAGTCATAATTTGAAGCTCTAACATACATATAAAATAACAACTAACATCACGGAATCAAATAACTTTAAGCCTCTAAGAGTGAAAGAGAGGTGCACTGGGCAGAGAACAGAACTACAGAAGATGTAGAACAAATGTGTGTTAGTTGGAAAGTCAGAAATAATGCTAGAAATTATACCTGAGTTTGGATTTGCTGTAAACAAGATGTGATTGTTGCAAATAGTTATGCTGTTTCTCATGTTCATTCTTGTGACAGAAACAGAGTGAATGCTATGTCATGAACACTATGTTTCCAATGTTTTTTGTAATCCCAAAAATATTCCCTGAAAAAGAAGTTCAGCATTGCACTAGACAGGGTGAGAGGGGATTCCCCTCTGCCAACAATAGCAGCTGAAATGGCTGCAATTTTCCAGGATAGTGGCTGCAACTCCTGCTACATGAAAATGCCCAGCTACATATTTGGAATAGTGGCTGGAGGCCACTCTGCCGCTAAAGTCCATTATTAGCAATTATGTGACATACTCTACATAGATTATGAAATTCAAGCTAATTATTTTACCTAGTGGGTTCTAGATCATCTTCTTGAATGACTTCAACCCCCTCCCATCTGTTTTCTCAGAACTGTCTTGTGATGACTGTTGATTGATTAACCTTTGAAGCAATGACCTGTAACTAAAGTCATACCATCTTACTTCATTTAATGGTTGGTTTTAACCTTCAAATGATATTTACCTGACAGGCATCAGGAACTTGGTTACAAAGCAACTCAAGGTGATGAAGTTGAAGACCTGTTCATTTTGTTACGTGAAGTGAAAAGGCAGATACCCTCAGTTACTGCAGTGTCCTCTGGAGCCATTGCATCTGACTATCAGAGATTGCGGGTGGAAAGTGTTTGTTCAAGGTTAGGCCTTGTTTCTCTGGCATACTTATGGAAACAAGATCAATCATTGCTCCTCCAGGAAATGGTAAATAGTTTTGGACTATTGTCACCGTAATTGATAGCATGCATGTATGTGATTGTGTATTAGGATTTTAATTTTTTTTCTTCACTGTTCAGATAATTCTAACACCATTTTGGTCCTGAACAGATTTCAAATGGAATTGTAGCGGTAACAGTGAAGGTATAACTTTGCTTCTAATGTTTATTGCACTTTATGGTTTTTCTTTTTCACTTGTAAATGTGAGGGAATTCCTTTGCTCTTATTACTGGGTGGTTCTTATTATCCATGCAGAGAGATCTTACTATTGCTTTGATAATATTAAGCATCTTGTCTGATCACTTTACACCATTCATAGGTTCCATGATGCTAATTTAATGATTTCATGTAATCTTTAACTTGAGGGTTGCTTTGAATATATGGTGGTGAATCATACAATACATGTAGCCAACAAAGAAAGAGTTATACAAGTGAAAACATTTCCTTCTACCTTGGAATTATGTTTAAATTATTTTTGTATCTACTTGAATAATTGTTTGGCTTTATCTATGTTGCAAGGTAGCTGCCATGGGTTTGGATCCTTCAAAGCACTTGGGTAAAGAAATAGCCTTCTTAAATGCTTATTTGCATAAATTGAAAGAGTATGTCAAAATTTATTCGCCCTCCTTTTTCTTTGCGTAATAACTGTGTAAATTCTTCAAAGTTTAGAGTATCAAGGTTCTATGGTGTTTTCACAATTTCGTGTCACCCCATCCCTCGTTGTAACCCTTTTTTGCAGGTTATATGGAATCAATGTTTGTGGTGAAGGAGGGGAATATGAAACATTAACTCTTGATTGCCCACTCTTTATTGTAAGTTTGATACCACCACCATTGTTGCGATTAACTAATTTTTTAACCTTCTTTGGGTCTACCATTGATTAACTTTTTTTTACACTTTGGCTTGTCCACTGTACATTTTGATGGCAGTTTTGTGGGCCTACCAAATACCAATATTGAGAATTCAATCTTGTAAATTGATTACTTGTTTTGCTTCAACTTTATAATCAATATTTTCTTCCATTTTCTTCTGTTATCTGTAATTCATTAAATTTTTCAGAATGCTCGCATTGTGCTTGATGAATATCAAGTTGTGATGCACTCTTCTGATTCCATAGCTCCTGTTGGAATCATTCATCCATTGGCATTTCATTTGGAAAATAAGGCAGATGCTCAGTCTTTAAAATCACAAGACAAAATACATGAGATTTGTAAGCAGAAATTGGGATCTGTGTTTGAAGTGCAAGACAGTCTAGAAGGATGTGAAGCCACATGCAATCCTGTGGATTATAGCACTGATTCAACTGATGACATAGAACATAAATTTAACATCTCAAGAACAAATAACAAGAACACGTTCTCCATATGTTGCTGGTTGCCAGATTCATGCAATGGTCATAATCATTCTTACTTTTTATGCTTTATTTTTAAATGACTTGTGTTACTTCTTGCACATTATTTTGTTCTGACACTGTTTATCTTATTTCCTTAGAGCAGGTTTGCAGGAAGATTTGAAGATTGTTTTGGGGAAAATTGAATCACAGTTATTGGGCTTTGGTTTTGGCTGGGAGAATGTCCTCTATATTCACCTATACATTGATGACATGAATAAGTTCTCTGAGGCAAATGAAACATATGTGAAGTTTATAACACAGGAGAAGTGTCCATTTGGTGTCCCATCCCGTAGTACTGTTGAAATGCCTCTTGTAGAAATGGGTTTAAGCAGAGCATACATTGAAGTTCTGGTAGCAAAAAATAAAGATAAAAAGGTTTTGCATGTGCAGAGTATTTCCGGTTGGGCACCAAGTTGCATTGGGCCATACAGCCAGGTAAACTCCACTTATGTCAGCAACCAATTATTTATCATCAGAAATAACAAGTTTGCATTTGTTTTCGGTATCCTGTTTCATTATATCATTGCAAAAATTGGCCTGGGGTGCACAGAAAGCAGTTGAAGCATGAACGCTGCTTATTCTAGATTAAAGTGATTTAGGACTTTCACTTTTAGTATGTATAATATGATAAAATTTAAATAGGAATGCTTTATTCTTTGGAATGTTATTACTCGTTAGAGAATGGGGCATTCTGTTTCACTGAAATCAATGTGAAACATTCCAGTATTGGGCCAAGGGTATCCTTGACACACAGTTGTTTGCCTGCTTGTGGGAGTGAATGTATAATTGTAAAATAGTAAGTTATAGGAAATATTTCAATTCCTTATTATTGTTTGTATAAATGTGAAATACATTTATTCTTTTATGTATATAGCTAACAAGGATGCTGAGTGGTCTTGCTCAAGCAATTCATAGAACTTGTGTCTTATTTATATAAGTTTCTTCTTAAAATTTCTTTAGTGAAAAAATATTTATCTGGAATTCTTTTACCTAATTTTGGTTGATCTCTAAATATTTAGACTAATTCCTCAGGGTTGGTTTTTGCTATAATCTCTGCTTAATATTACAAGTTGTTTTGTGCACAAAATAAGTTAATCCAAGATCAAACAAATTTTTTGATTCCTTGAACTTCATTTCTATTTGCAATATGTTAGGGTTTCATGAGTTGAGTTGGGACTGATTTCTGGGTGCTCTTATGGTAATTATCTAATCGAATAATGCAAGTGCAGTTTGAGTTTAGTGTTTGCTTACCTCATACCCTATTACTGTCACTCATATATTTAACATATGGTACAATTATCACATTTCAAATATAATCTTGTGCCACATCTGTTCATTCTAATGCTTTTTGCTTTCAGGCAACCTTGCATGAGGGTATACTTCACATGGCTGGTCAATTGGGGCTTGACCCTCCAACGATGAATCTTTGCGAGGGAGGCCCCAGGGTTGAACTGGAACAAGCACTAAAAAACAGTGAAGCAGTGGCAAAATGCTTTAATTGTTCAATATCAACATCTGCAATTGTTTTTGTTATTTACTGTTCTAAACATATTTCATCATTGGAGAGACAAGATATTCAGGAGAAACAAGAAATAATCCTTAGGCAGATGAAGATCTGCCATTTACAGGAAAGAGACACGTACAAAGCATTAGATCCCTTGTTCCTTTATGTCCTTGTTCCTGATCTACCTAAAAGGTACTGTAGGGTATCCCATGACTATATGTTTATATTAGGTTTCATTATTATAGGGCTGTGAGGTTTTTTATCAGTTCACTTTCTCTACATAACTACAGATAAAACTGACCTGATGGGGAAATAAAAATGTAAAAGTAAATTGTCTGGATTGCATGACTTTTAATATGGTAAAAAGGGGTCAAGGAAGATCCTAAAAAACCTTAGATAAAGTTATTAAAAGTTTTTTTTATTAAGTTCAATAGCATCGTATGATTTATGTAGTTGACTTCACTTAGTGGGATAAGACTTGATAGTCGTTGTTAACTAGATTATCTTTTGAGAAATGCTATCATCACATTCTTTTGGACATACTTTTTAACACATTTATTGTGATTAGTCAAATTTTGACATTTTTTGAGAAGTGTTGTGAAAGAGTGTGTTTCTAGCATTTCTTTAACTTTTTTGGTCTTCCTATTTTTGTGGTTAGGATATGAGGGGTTGGAAGGGATTTTATATTATTATTATTATTGCTATTGTTTGTCACAAGCATATGCAATTTTTTACTTTCCAGAGCATCTGTAGAAGTAAAGCCTAGTCTTTATGTCGAGGATGGCACAGATGCAGCATATGAGACCATAGCAGAAAGATGCTGTTCAAAGACACCACCGTGTTATTGGGGTTTCAAACAGGAAAATTGGCACGATTCTTGCATTCAAAAATGTGTGATTTCTGGAAAGATATGTGCTGTTATACTGTCTATCACTTGTGAGCTGGTTGCAAGAATATGTTTCGATTCTCTGCCTGCTGATCATGTGAATAATGGTCTATTTTCTCTTACTAAGGCACATATGGAGAAGTTATCAAAGTTCTGCATTTTTCTTTTTGACAGAGTTATGACAGATAATGACTTTGCCTGGGAAGATATAATGGTTCGTATATTTCTTAAAATATCATACACCAGATTAATTTTATCCCGCCATTGCTAGAATTATATTTTAGTTGTGCATAACAAAACCCACTTCTTGTTTTCTATGCTATTTTCATCTGTAACTTGTGTTATGGATTGTCCAGTCCTGGCTTGCTTTCTTTATAGCTAACGTTTTATTTTCTAGATAATTAATGCATCTCCATGATCATCATGTCCATTTGCCCTAAAATGGTATCCATGCATTTTTTTGGGGTCTGTTTCCTCTTGGAAATTAGGGACAGTGGAGCATAGTGTAGGTGGTTACCAGCAACTATTATCTAACTTAAGATAAAAGAAAAGAATGTGATCAGATTTATTCCACTCCTCCTTTGTGTTCTGTATGAGCTTGATCATTCTCTTACAGTTTTTTCAAATTTCATTTTCATCTTATGCAGAATTTGAGGTTCTACGTCCCAGCACGGCATCAAATGTCGGTGGAGCTATTACAGCCTATTTTCAGCAATGCATTAATAGAATTTTCGGAGATGAGTCAGAAAAAAGTTATAAGTGGTGAGGAGCCAATCTTCAACATAGTTCCTGTCATCGGTGCTGGGAGGTCTGCTTCATCCATGGATGATGTAATAACCTGTGAATTGTTGGCTCGGAAATCCTGAGTTGTATGACATTACTCTCAAGTGACCGTGGGGTTCAAGGTGTGGTTCAGTTGCTGTGCAGTTTACCAACTGATCTACAAGTTTTGTTTTCAATTCAAAATGGATTAACTTTTCACAAAACCAAAACAACTACGGTTTTGCTGGAATAGCTTGGTGAATGGGATGAGATGGGATTTTTCTCTATATGTTGATCTTGCTCAATATGCGTTTAAATTTCAATTCATTTTATGAATCTGCATTTTTTAGCTTTATGGAAGGTTGTAAGAAGGAAGTGTAATTTTATCAAATCTAGGTAGTGCTTTAAACCCAGTTGTTTGTAATTTCCGTCCTTTTTTTGTTAATATTAAAATGATTAATGCTATTCATCCACCTTTTTTTCCTTACAATTCTGTAGACTTGATCCTTTTGGAAAAGCAACGGAAATGGGGTTAAAGGAGAAACAATTTTTCTTAAATAGGGTTGTTTCATAACAAATGTTGTGTCTAGGGTAGAGAATGTCATGTGCAAGTAGTGTTGGAAGATACGTGGCAGATACACAATTTATTTTTTTTTAAATTAAGTATCATCAAACTTGTAATCGACATTGTTATAAAGATTAATAAACATATTTTTAAAATATTGATCTACGACTGCAAATCAAATGCGTGTAGGTTTTCTAGTGTGTTAGACGGTTCAAATTTAACTTTAGTGTTAGTACTGCATTGGGTGACACAAGTATCGACATGTTTAGGATTGACACACGTCTGATTGGTCCATGTGGCATTATTGTAGGAGGTCATTGCCGCTTGTCCCTTCCTCTCTCTCTTGGTGCTTCTGTTACAGTTATTCATCTTCTTCGTTCAGTAACTGAAGAAGTTAAAAAAATTTGACAAAAAAGTAAAAACGAAAATGTAGAGGAAGGGTGGAAGTTTTGCCATTTTTAAAAATTTGTAAGGTAAGAAGAAATGATTTTTTTTGTATATTAGACATAAATATGAACATATTTTTAAAGGGGGCTTTCAGGTGGTCTAACATTCTCACGTCAAAGATTAGTCAAAATTTAGATTATAATTTATTTTGTTGTAATTTTATGCATGTAAAAAAAAAAAGGAAAATAGGAAAATAGAAAAATATTTAAATTAAAATTTATAATAATTTTGTTTTTTATGTAGAAAACTGTATTTAAAAGTAAAAATAATGATGATATTATTTAGTTATACAAATATTATTATGTTAAAATAACAAAATTTTAAACATATATAAATATAAATTAATTGAGAAATATAAAATAATTAAATTAGATAAATATATGAGGAAGAATTATATGTAATTATTAGAAGGTTTCTAAAATAAAAAAATAATTATAACAAAACAAAATTGAAATAATAAGAATGAAATATGTTAATTAATAAATTTATATTATTAAAAAAACTGCAGTTGTCAAATTTGTAATAATATTTCAATAAATATTATGTCACATAATTAAGAAATAGTAAATAATTTAAAATTGTGAAAGATAAAAATATAGTTATTCATCACTTAATTATAAATTGGATTAATTTGAAAAAAAATTAGAGTAAAAGAATAATGAATTAAGTGAAAAAAAGATAAATATATAAAATTTTAAGTTAAATAAAATTCAAAATTTTATTTTAAAATATAAATGACTGAAAATAAAAAAAATTAGATAATTAGTATTTTAGACATTTAAATCTTTTAAAAAGTTTGTAGTTATTTATATGATTTTAATTAATAATAATAAATTTATGTGTTAATTTAAGTAAAAAAAATAATTATTAAATACATCAGTAAGAATTTAGAGGTTAAATTTTCTATAATGAGATTTTGAAAATATATTTTTTGTTGTAAGCTATTATTGAATATATGTTATAAATTTACTAATTATAGGTAAATTTAGTAAAAGAGTTTTTTTTGTTAATATAATAATTGATATAGTCTATTTTAAAGTACAAATTGTGCCTAAATTATAATATTTAATGAATATTGACTATTGTTATATTTTTAATATTGTAGGCCATAGATTTTACGTTACTCCCTTTGCTCGAATGAGGAGATGGTGTTTATTATGTCCCTCTACCTTTTCTGTTTTAGCAATCGCAAAAGACATAGTTATCTTATGTTCACTCATTAAAGCAAACAAACGTCTCTCCTACATCTCCATTTTTCACTAGTGAATTTTATGTTTCTGACACTACCCTTTTCATGACACCTCCATATGAGCTGATGTTTTTCACACTAAATGCACCTGGTGTAGGCGCTCATCAAAGTGGACATGAGCGTGAAATTGATCTTAATGCTGAATTCATTAGAGCCTCAGATGCAACAAGACTTGATATGAGACGTAATCCTCAATGTGGAGCTCGAGATCATTGTTGACAATGCATTCTCACACCTCATGAGGAGGGATTTAATGAGCAGTCCTTAGATTCTAATTGAGAATATGTTATCATACTGTATTATATAACTTTAGACAATTAGTTTTTCTTGGTTGGTTGTTATAACTTTAGACGATGTTAGTGAATGATTTATTTGGTTTACATTGCCTAAACGACCAAAATAATTGATGAAAGACTCTGAATCTATTATCCATTACATTACCTCTCACATAATCATTGGTCTCAATTTTGTAAATTGACCCTAGAGCATGTAATTGCATGTATTCTAACTATCTTGACAATGTTGCATAAGATTCATCACAATTACCAAATATTGTCACAATTGCTTTTTGCTTTGCTTTCCATGCTTTTTTTGTATAAAATTAAATACCCAAATTGTCCACTTATTCTCTCTTGGATTAATGAAACGGGAACTGAAAGTTCTTCTTTGACTATACCTGTCAATAAAATTAAACAATACGTCTTAGCTAATGATCATTTCAAAATCATTTTAAATAGACAAACAAAAATAATCTCAATTGAGTTTCACGTACCAAGAATGCATGAACAAATAAAATTTGAATCTAACTTTTTGTGGTCATGAGAGATCATAGTATTTACGCAGGTATGCGTATCACCCTATCTCGTAATTTTTCACTTATTTGAATTTTTGGGTAGCAATGCTCTTACTTTCTAAAGACACTTAGAATTATGATTCACACACTTGACAAAATGAGTTGATGCTCCCAATTAATAGCAGTGTAGTGTGAACTTATATTTCAAAAAAGTATTATAGAATTTGTATTAAACTCAACTAATGTTAGTTAAAAATATTTTACAATTATTGTATTATATAAAATTGTACCTGTTAATTGTCCTTACATATCGTTATTTCTTTCAGTGTTTGAAATATTCATCATTGAATCGAAACTATCATTTAAATCAGTATTAGAAGAACTATCTAAAAGAATTTCTCATTCATCTTCATAGTCATCATCGTACGCATCTTCTTTATCTGTAGATGCAGCAACAAATATTTATTAATAAATTATAAAATTTTAAACATCATATAATTTAAATAAACATTATACATTACCTCTTCCAATTGCATACTCTTCTTTACATTATACATTAACAGTTAGAAGTGATAAATTTAAACATAACAAAGTTTCACCAACACAATATCCACATATAACTCAACTACATTTCTTTGAAGTCGTTCTTGACAAGCACTTATCATACAATCAATATCTTTATCATCACATACATCTAAAATTGTCTAGTTTTCACTCATTGCATCAACTAAAATTCGTAAAATCAGTTTAGAAATTACATTACTATTACACAATCTCAATTTTGTACGTATTTTTTTCAGCATCTCAAAAGTAATTCCACATTTTATTTTAATCATCTTCTTATTCCCTTCAAATATTATACCCTTATTTTCTTCTACACTCTTCTATTCTAATATAAAATAACCACAATTTCAGTCATCCTGCATATCAAATTAAAAAATACAACCAAAAAAATTACGAAAGTATACCTAAACAAATACTAACAAAAAAATATTATAAAAATATTAAAATAAAAAAGATTTATATTTGTATTTCAATAATATTATATTAACATTAAATAATTTAATTTATTACTACAAATATTTTTAATTTCATTAATTCATAATAATATTAAAATTATTATTTCAAATTTAATTGTGATAATTAAAATATTAAAACAATAAATTAATAACCTTCAGCTTCTCTTATACTCGATACCTTCTTTAAAATTTTTGGCAATCAATACACACTCGTCTATCTACATACATTCTAAATTGGATAAAAATTACTGGATAAATAATTGTTATTTGTTTTATCTAAAGAGTAAGAGGGTGAACGAGAAAAGTATTAGCGTCAAAGCAGTCAACACAGTGTAAGTGTCGGTATTCTACCTGCTGACACACGTGTTGCAAAAAAAAAAATCGACACACATGTATCAGACTATAATGAGCCGATAAATATGCCACGTGACAATAATTAGATTTAGTGTCAGTGGATTTGTGGCCCACATTTTACATTATATCGCCTGAATATTTTACAATACTTTTATATCACCTATACACAGCGTTTGTTATGAACCAAATAGAAAGGAGAAATTGTTTCTCCTTTAATTCTATGTGGGCAAAAAAGCCGAGTCTATCTGTCTTCCCTTGTTCCTTCCTTTTACCAATAAACTAAAGCTGTGAAACGTATGAATAAGATTACTCTTGTAAATCGTTTGTTCGGCTGGGAAGCCTAAATTTAATTCAGGCCCAGTTTGGTTCAGTCTTGGGCTTGGGTCACCTTCGTTACGTGTAAGGTGTGTAGCATCTTCCTACGATAAATCTTACACGTATTCAAGCCGATTTACATTTAAAAAGTGTTGCTTGTTGAAGGGACAAAAAAGGGTTATTTGCTTTGATTCGAGTTTTGCGTCCCATTTGGCTTTAGTCAAAAAGTATTTTTTATTTGAGTTATAAAGTAAAAGTTCAAGCTCAATATAAACATATATATATATATATATATATATATATATATATATATATATGTTTAGATGAGAAGGATTGAAAATTTTGGAATTGATGTAAGCCTAAAATTTAAAGTTCCTTAGTTTTTTAGGAAAAAAAGGTATAGTTTTTTCTGCAGCGAAAAATAAAAATAAGTTCAAATCTTATATATTAATAGGTTTAATTGGGTCGTTGAACTACCCTATTGTTGCTTGACCCAATTTGAGGTTTTTCGCCTTTTGTTTTTCTTAATATCAATGTGCAAACATTGTCCGTGAGAAAGCGGGATGGGTAACTAAAGGGCGTTGAGAAGAGTTTTTAGATTTTTTATGAATATAAATTATAATTCTTATAAACTATTTAATCTTATTTTAATAAAATTTTGTATAACTTATTCTGCTAAGTTTTGTGATCAATTATATATCGTAAACTCTCATTTCAGATTTATTTAAGG